GGGGGGAGGGAGTAGGGGGAAAAGGTGGACTCTGCTGATTCACTGAGACAAGTGGGAACAGCTCTCTGAAGAGGAAGGATCTAAGGTGTGGACTGAGCAACCCTAAGGAAGGAATCCTAGGAACACCCACGCCTACGAAGAAAGTTTTGAGTAAAACCATAGGTTATCTGACTGCTGATTTGCTTTTTAATAAAACCAACCCCCAGGAAACAGCACAAGGTGCCTTTTTAAAAAGTTACCTCTGTACTGTTTGAGGGCTGTGCTTCTGAAGAGGAAGGATCTAAGGTGTGGACTGAGCAACCCTAAGGAAGGAATCCTAGGAACACCCACGCCTACGAAGAAAGTTTTGAGTAAAACCATAGGTTATCTGACTGCTGATTTGCTTTTTAATAAAACCAACCCCCAGGAAACAGCACAAGGTGCCTTTTTAAAAAGTTACCTCTGTACTGTTTGAGGGCTGTGCTTGAGAAAGCCATCTCCTTACATGGTCTTCTGTTAGCCCTTGAACTAAAACTCAGACCTGGCTTTAATTTCTCCCCTGACTCTCACACTCTCCCGTCTGCTGAGGAAGCAGATAATCTGACCACAAACACCAAAGAGGAAACATTTCAAAACTGAGGAAATGCCACCTGCTTTGGTTTCTTTAGTGTGACCCTGTCCTCATTTGCTTGTGATTTCATAAAGATCAAGACGGCAACCCATGTGTTTTATGGTATCAATGACAACAACAGGGATATGGGCTACTAACCTCTCCCCAAACCCTATGAATGTCTGAACCAGTGGCACTGAAGTAGTGACTTTGAAGCATTTCCCCAGGTGATATAATAGCGGCAGTGTAACTATATGGCGACAGATTTAGGGAAGTCAGGAGGTGGGTTTTAATGACACAGACCCAATCTGCTGACTTCTCATAAATCAGCTGAGGAAGGCTTTCCTCCAATATTGTGGACTGTGCACATACAATGGGAAATTTTCTTAACGCATTCTCTACAAACACAACATTTATTTACACAGAGAGAATATACAAAGAGGAACTAGCCTGGGGTAATCTGTGCAGTAGACAGCAAATTCACACAAGGATTACAGCTCTATGTTAGCAAAGAAGAGTGGCAGGGGGGGGGGCGGATCTGATGGGGAAGAGTTGAAAACCCTCTCCCTGTCCCCCTCCTTAGCAGATTTTTTTATGCTAACAGACTCTGATGCCTGCTACAGATATCACAACATGCTAATTTGCTTCCCCAGTTGCATGGCGGGAGAGAGCTGGGTGAAAGACGAAGACAACAACCCACTCAGTTCTCGGAAGCAAGGCGTTTCGCAGCTTTTTCCTTCTGTTTGCTAACGTCATCTTGACACTGGTACGTGCATTGGGGTTAATAAACCTGGAAATGAGCTGAGGTGGTGCCGTCTTTCCAGCAGCGCAGAGTCTCCACTGCGATGGAGCGACACAAAGGGCAGGTCTTCTCCCTGTCAAACCACAGGCAGAGGCACTCCTCACAAAACACATGCTGTGGAGAAAAAGGGGAGGCTGTCAGGCTGAGCGGGGCATGAGAAGGGGGAACTGCCCTGCCGCCCAGGGCATGCGTGGAACACAGAAGCTTTTGTACAGGAAGCAATATAAGTTTGAAAGGAGAGGACTGTCACATAAAAGTCATATGGGGGTCCTGCAGCTTAACAGGCCTGGGATGGAAGTTTCCATCCCTGTTGTCCCCAGCTTAGCATGGCCTGGAACCCTGCAAGCCCAAACAGCAGCTGAGCTTTATCATCTTTTAGCCATGTCTTGAGCTGGGAAACTACTAAGCAATCAACAAGTTTGGCCTCGGTCTCAGCTCATAAGAGTGATAAGAATGGCATTGAGCCAGATACATGCACACCCGGTAAACAGCTGTTGTATAACTAGTGTAGGGAGTCCCATGCTCATTGAGTCTCACCAGGGACCTAGATCTTGAAGGGTGCCCTGGATCCCCCTAGCTGGACCCATGTCCGCTGTGGTGGGGTGCGGGGTGACCAGAATGGAACTTCCTGCAGATTGAAGGGGCGTAAGCATTTCTAAGTGCCTATTACTCTTTTATGCATTTCTCTGCTTATACTTATTGGTGTATTACTTTGCAGTAGTTGTGTAACCATCTGGCAGATTAAGCCTGTAACAGCAGTGACATAGTGAAATTAATAAAAGCAACTATCCCTAATCAACTCTGTCTTGAAGTGAATCCACAACTCTGTTGGGCCCTGGCCTTGTGAATTGACAGGGACAACCTGTAGGATCAAGCTCATCCATCAGCATGAAAAATAAAAGCTAAATATGAGCATACTGGCCCTGCACAGGCAATAACGGAGACAGCAGCATGCCTTAATGAAACACACATGTCCAAAACACAGCTCTTGTAAGTGTGGGGTTTGTTTGAAGACATAACAGCAGGTTTCTGTGCTCTGCACTAGATATCTGTTCTCTTCAATGTGCAGGCCAGGCTCTCAAAAACTGAAGGGTAAATCTATGCAGTATTTTGGAACCAGTGGCCGCAAGTCTGTCAGCCAGAGCCCAGGCACTGATGCTGTGGAGGGAGGTTGGCTTCAGAGTCTGAGCTGCAGCTTCAAAGCACTGTCTACAGAGCTACTTCTAGCCCAAGTCTGTCGACTCTCTGTGTGGACCAGCACGAGAGCAGGATGAGAGAAGGAAGGTATTCACTGACAGTACAGAAATGGAGACTCTTGGGTATCTTGGCTATATTCTAGGCCAGAGGCAAGCAAAATATGGGCCATTGGCCAAATCTGGCCTCCCAAGCTGCCAGATCCAGCCCACAGGAGCTTCCACCAGGTCAAACCAGCATGCTACTGAGAGCAACTCTCACACACTGCTCCCACCTCAAGCACAATCTACAGCTCTCATTGGCCAGTTTCTGGCCCATAGGAGCCGCCTGTTTGCAGGACAGGCAGTGCACGAAGTACCCCTCCTCCTCCAGGCTTGCAGCATTCACAGCTGCACGTGGCTCCCGTAACTAGTGTAGGGGCATGGAAGGCAGGGAGCCATGGCTGAGGAACCAGCTAGGCTGCTGGCCAGGTGCTGCCCAGGTTAGTGTCTTTCAGCCAGAGCCTGACCCCAACCCTGTGCCCCACTCTTGCAACCCTACCTCCTCCCAGAATCTGCACCCCAATCCCCTGCACCCCTTCTTCAGATCAGAATCCTTTTCAGCACCCATACTCTTTTCCAGACCCTGCACACCAGTCTGCACCCTACTCTCCTGCCCAGGTTCACAACTCCACCACCACCCAAATTCCTTCCCGGAGCGCCCCTCCCCTCCCCACACCTCAGTCCCTTATCCCAAGCTTTCTCCTGCACTCAATCTCCACCATAAATCCTGTATCCACTTCATAAATGTCATGGAAGAGTTCAGCTCTTGACCAATTACCAAATTCTTGGAGTGCCCCCCATCCTTATTCTAAGCACTGAAGGGGAGTATGTGCCAATGGTCACAAATCCTTCTGCTTGTCTCCCCCCCTGCAAACTTGACCTGTTCTGCTCCCTTTTTCACAGCCTGTCCTCATCTCAGTCCTCTCTCTCCTCACCCAAGACCTACTCTAGTCAACTGGTCAGACTCCATCTCCACTTCACAGGCTTCTCTTCCTAGTCCCAAGCTTCTTGTCCAGCAAGTCCTAGTCCCCACTCCCACCCCCCAGGACTCTCCATCTTAGTCTCTCCTCCCCTGCTCCCAGTGTCTTTTGCCAGCCAGCCCTAGTTCCCTTACCTGACCCACCCAATCTGCCTCACCCCCACTATTCCAGTCCAGTCTCCTGCCCTGGCAATTCCATCTCTGTCCACTTCTCCTGGTGCCTGTTTCTCTCTTCCTCCAATCCCCCTCCCCCCCCCCCAGCTTTCAATCCAAATTTTCTCCCTCTGCCCTCTTTCCTAAATCCCCATTTCCAGCTTTTGTCCCATCTGCATTTGAATCATGTGGCATCTTCCTCCACTTTGCCTGGGTGCCACCAGGGATTTCACTGTGAGCACAGGGGAGACAGATTCCCTGCTCTCATTTTTGGTATCTATCCCCACCCCAAGAGCAGCCATTACAGGGGAAGTCTGGTTTTGTCTACGTAGCCTTAGGCTGGATGCCACACATTCACTTGCACTGTGAGGATGGCATATGCGCAGTCTGGATGGCACTACATGCTGTGATAGATTTGAGCATGCTCAACCCACACAGAAACTTATGAGAATTTAGAGGTTAAAATCTATGAAGTTTCTCATGCAAACAGTGTAAATTGAGATTTTTCCAAAGGCTTATAACTTGGCCAGATTTGGATGGCTTTAAACAGGAAAAGCAAAAGGTGCATCCCTAACACAAAGGCTACCTACCCACCTCCAGATCTGAAGTCTGTAGCTCCAAAGCGAGGGGATATGACAGTTTTAAAATGCTTTAGTTTTTCAAAAGAAAGTTCTCCAGTACTTTTAAGAACTTTGTTTTGCAATGTATTCTTTCAAGCCTCATTCCCTAAAATAGCTGAATTGCTTCAGCTGAAATTTTACAGAAAATAATCATCAAAAGGGAAACATCAGGCATGGAAAATTTGAACTCAAGTTTGACAAAAAATGATAAGCAACAGAAAACAGGATCTTATAAAGGAAAGTGTTAAGCAAACATAATAGGCAGTGCTACCAGCCTCACATATATGAATGAAATGTGTGGAATGTTGTAAAGGGTTTATCAGCATCAGATCTATATTGGCAAGATTTTGTGCAAAAGCAGATGCATTGTGCAAAATCTTACCACCTGTCTACACTGGCCTCTTGCGCAAGAATACTTGTGCAAGAGGGCTTATCCCTGAGTGGGAGCGTCAGAGGATTTGCGCAAGGACCACTGATTTTGTACATTACAACATCAGTGTTCTTGCGCAAATACTTGTGGCCAGTGTAGACAGGCAACGTTAATTTCTTGCGCAAGAAACCCCTATGATTAAAATAGCCATCAGAGCTTTCTTGTGCAAGAGAGCGTCTACACTGGCATGTGCCTTTGTGTAAGAGATGTGCTTTTGCGCAAAAGCACATCTCTTACACAAAGGCACATGCCAGTGTAGACGTAGCCCAGGTGTATTATTCACAGAGTGCTGTTATTAATTTTTGCTTAATACACAATGTCAGTGCTTGGCAAATATGAAGTAAAAACTCCTCTGCCCTGGCAGGGGGAAGGACTGGACGATAGAATAAGTATTTTCCACCATTATCTATAGGATTCCACCCCCCGGAATAATGTAGTAATGTGACTCATATGGCTGAGCTGTACCCAATTATTAAGTATTGTTGGGGACTTTGGTGACTTAGGCAGATGTCCACTGGGCGTGAGCCAGAGACCTATAAAATAGAGCTTGGAAGTCACTACACTGAGTTTGATGGCAGCACTCATTTGGCAAGCCTGGTATTCTCACCTGGCACAAAAGGATCAAAGGCTCCCTGAACTCCACTTGGCAAATAGCACAGATATCTCCAGCCTCACTGCACTGCTGGCTGGTTGCACGAACTCCATAAGTCTGTTAGGGAGAGGGAAGAAGAAAAACCTTTCTTTGCAAAAGGGTTTACATTAAGGACGTTAAAAGCCAGTTAATTGGATAGTCGAGTAACCTCATGAATTTTTATCAGTCGACTATTCTATAATCCCCAAGGGCAGGGCCGGCAGCCGCTGT